CTACCTTCACGGTAAATCCCACAGCCCCACCTCAACCCCCCTGCAACATTCCCAGGTCAAATCTGCCCTGCTCCCTGCTCCGTCACAGGCGTGCACCCAGGGAATTTTTTTTTTTTTAAAAAGGTCGAACATCATAAAAGTTGGGGTGTGGGAGGGAGTGCGGTGTGCAGGAAGGGGCTCAGGGCAAGGTATTGAGGCAGAGGAGGGGTGTATGAGGGGGCTCAGGGAAGGGGGTTGGGGTGCAGGGTGCAGCAGGGGGCTCAGGGCAGGGGGTTTGGGGTGCAAGGTGCAGGCAGGGGGCTCAGGCAGGGGTTTGGGGGGCGAGGTGCAGGCAGGGGGCTCAGGGCACCGCTCACCATGTCCCTGCGCAGCCCCGGGGGTGGAGGGGGGGTCTGCACAGGGCTCTGCACGCTGCCCTTGCCACGCCTCCAGGTACCTCCCTCGAAGCTCCAATTGGCCACGGTTCCCCATTCCCGGCCAATGGGAGCTGCGGAGGGCGGTGCCTGGAGCAACCCCACCCCCAGGGCCCGAGGGACGTGGTGGGGTGCCCCGGCCGCTTCTGAGAGGGCATTAGGGTGTGCCTGGGCACACCTCTGTGTATTAGCAACAAGTGGATCCTATATTGCTCCTGGGGAAGACGATGATTTCATCTGGAGAGGAAGCAGCAGCAGTCAGGCTGCAGCTCCGGAGTCAGGAGCAGCGCCAAAGCTGGGTATGGGCGGGGTAACTCAGGGCTGAGATAGCAGAAGATTGCAGGTGGGGATGGAGAGACACCAGAAGAGCTGGGGATGCAGGGGCAGCCTTGGCATGGCGTGGAGGGCAGAGGGCTGCAGGTTGGGACTGAGGGGCACTGGCAGAGCTGTGGGTCAGGATTGAGGGGCATCAGCAGAGCTCAGGGGAGGGGGGGGAGCCCAGAGCTTGAATGAAGAAGTGGGGGCAGAAGGTCAGGACAGAGGGACAGCGGCTGCAGAGCAGGAGGGGGCGGAGCCTGGGGCTGGAACAGCAGAGCGAAGATGGGGCATCCCTCAGCCGGAGCCTCTGGGGGCCGTAGAAGGGGAGGACGGGTCTGCTGTGAGATGCGCCCTGCTACCGCTAGAGATCTGAGGCTGCAATCCCAATGGTAATTAAGGGCTAGTGCAGTGGCTCTCAAACCTTTGTACAGGTGTCCCCTTTCACACAGCAAACCTCTGAATGTGACCCCCCCTTATAAACTAAAAACACTTGTAAATATATTTAACACCATTATAAATGCTGGAGGCAAAGCAGGGTTTGGGGTGGAGGCTGACAGCTCACGACCTCCCATGAAATAACCCCGCGACCCCCTGAGGGGTCCCGACCCCCAGTTTGAGAACTACTGGGCTAGAGTTTGCAGGGCTGGATTCTTGTCTCATTTCATCACCCAGCTAAGAACCACATCAGCACCCAGCACACTTCAGAGATCCCCAAAGCAACTCAGCTCTGAACAAAAATCTGGCTTTAAGTGTCCAGATTGGGGGGTGGGGCAAAAAGGCAAGGGTGAATATATGGTTAAGAGGCACCCCTCCCCCCATCTCCTGCCCTGCTACCCCAAGTTGGCCCATAAAAATCAATCGGTGCCTCGGATCCACACGCACCCCCACCATCAGCAATAAGCTAGCCCAGCCGCCAATGCAGATCATTTCCTGTAGTTTCCCCCATGTACAGACCCAGCTCCTTATTTTCCAGCCCTGCCTTCTCCCCATAGCAAAGGGGGGGAAGCCACAATCTCCCAGACCTTTAACTCCCTGTTACAACCCCCCCCAGCCATGCACCTCCACACACACCCCTCTCTACTTACTACCAGCAAGAGGGAGACCCCTCCCCCACCCCATCTACACCCTAGCTGCTACCCTGCAGCAGGAGGAAGGACCACTCTCCTTCACCCATCCCTAGCAGCCTGCTACCCCCATCCCCAGCAGGAGGAGAATTCCCTATTCTGAGGCTACCTGAAATAAGGACCTCCCCCTGCCCCCATCCCTGTGCCCTACAAACCCAGCACTTTGCCCCATCTCCTTCCTCATTCAGGTCCCCCTGGGTGCTGTCCCTAGGCCACATTCACACACACTGCAGCTGGGCCCACTCCCTGGGGAGCGCAGAGGCAGGAGCAGGGGAACAGCTGGGGACTGCGGGGGGGGAGGGGTCGTGACTCCAGCTGTTCCTGGCGTAGCCAGCTTTTAAGAGGAGGGGAGCAATGATAAAAAAGGCGCCCCCCTTGGCTCCTCCTCTGGCCACGCCCCCTTGGCTCCTCCAACGTTACACCGACCCTCCCCCTCCATGGCTCCTCCGGCCCTGCCGTGCCACCCCCGTGGCCCCCCCTCTGGCTTCCCCACCTCCTCGGG